AGGCATGCCCTCGAAGGTGTGCTCAGCCAGGCATGAGCTTCTGGGTGCAAAGCCGGAGTACTCGCGGTCGGTCGTACACGCCGGTTGTGTGCAGCACCTGGCCCAAGTGTTCAGCACCGGGCTTGACAGCATCGGATGGCATCGGCAGCTTGCAGCTCCGACTGGTGCAAAAAATGTCGAGCACCTCTGCAACGGAGAAGCGCTGCAGCGCTTGACGGCAGCCTCCCTGCAAGTACGTTTCGCATCTGTGTGAGCTTGGCGTCCGGTGAACGATGGTTCAGTGCATGCTGCAAGATCAGGCACTGGGTGTTTTGCTTCAACCATCTTCACTGCACTGCGTGTGCTGCCTTGCAAGGATGTGCATCGCAGAAGCCGATCCCAAAGTCGTCCAGCTCGACGACCACACAGCGCGTGCCTGTGCCGTAGTGTTGCATGCGAGTTCTGATTAAGTATCAATAACTGAAAGGCCTTGTTCCACATCAAATTTCCCGCGGTTTGCTGCAGGATGTCGCATACTTCTCCAGACCACGTTGATCGTCAAAAAAATCGGCACCCAGAATGCCAGAGAACTGGCAAGATAGCACATGCACCCTCAGCGGAGTCAACACACTCCAACCTAATGCAACCTATATTGTCTAATGTTGTTCGACCAAGGGATTCGCAAGGCACAGTAACTAGCATGCAACGCCGCTCGGATTCAAAGGGTCGCCTGTCGCAACTCAAATCGTTCCATGATGACATGTCCGGCCACCTGTTGCCATAGTTAGCGTCGGCAAACGCAGCATTGCTTCCAACTCCGCGTGCATGGAGAAGCACCTGCCACAACACATGGCTGATCATGATTGTGCAGGGCTAGCGGCAGTCTCAACACTAACATCAGTTCACGGCACAATGCCGTCAATAATTTCTTACTTTGTGTGCGACAAGCGATCGCGGGCGCAAAGCATGAGCACAGCCTGCCCGAGACAAGGCGGATATCTCGATTGCAGCCGAGGCTGAGGACCTCCGACAGCAGAAACGCGCTCAGTGCACATCACAAGACTGGCTCCGTCTGCCCCGACCCTTCACGATTATCTGCCTCGCACTCCGTCGCACCTCGTCTCCCTTCAGCACCACCCCGTGGCGCCCCGACCGGCTGGAACCCGCCTCGAGCAAGACCCGAAAGGAAAGGAAAGAGCGGTGCTGAAGTGTGCGCCACGATGCTGTAAGGAGTTCGTGCGGGATGTGCTGTTGTCTCTGTCTCTGTCCGTTAGACTCTTGTGCCTGGCATGCTGCTCTGGCCGCCAGTTGCACCTCGGCTTCACTCTGGCTCTCAGCTTCAGACGCCGAGGCTGCAAGAACCCCTGAGGCAGTGTCCGTCTCCGCTTCTGGCGTCATCATCTCTTGCCTGAGGCCAGAGCTCGGAATCAGCAGAAGCCGGAAGCCCGTGCACCGGGTCAAGAACCCCGAGCCTGGAGACTCCGAGTTCTGCGCAGCAGGCGAGAAACAGCCCAGGCTGCAGCATCTCTCCGAGACCAAATTTGCACCGCTGCACCGCTGCAAGCAAAGCCTGCCCAGGACATACTTGCGCTGGACTCTGGACCATCGCCAACAACAAAAGGCCTAGGACAAAACGATTCCCAATCCTGGAATCAGTATGTCGTGACCGTAACCAAGCCCAAACTAGATCCAGAACATCAAGACGCAGAAGACCACCTTGCAGATCTCTTTGGCTGCAGGACGAAACTCCCTTCCCGCCAGGATGCAGCCGGCAAGCCTTGACAGCAAGCAGGCGTTTCCGCGTGCTGCACAGAGAGAGAGAGAGAGAGAGAGAAAGAGAGAGCGACAGAGACAGAGAGAGTCTCGGGCTTCGGCATGTATGCAAGTGCTTTCGGTCCCAGCGACAAGCCTTTGCGCTGAGCCTGGCCAGAAAACAGCCGCCCGCATGATGTCAAGCGAGGTCGGGGAAACTCTCGGCAGACCTTGTCCAATGCCTCGAGGCCCAACCTTCGTGTCTCAACAATGGCCTACAATTCATGCTCAAGGACATCTGCTTCAGCTGACCCCATCTGAGATGCCATGTACACGAGCTGCGGACTCTAGGCGGTGGTTGTCTCCGGCAATCTGTTTCTGGGCCATCTGGGACAGCTCAAGCCAAAGGTTCTCCACTCCAGCTCTCCGGGCTGCTGGGCTTCATGCTTGAATCGCCTGAGATATCGGCAGCCTGGCCACTGCAAATCTCTGGAATAGGAATCACCCGAACGCCGAGCAGGAATGCCACGAAATGGCAGCACCTAGTCTAGCAGCATAGCAGGGTCACTCGGCTAGCCTAGCTAGGTCTAGTTCACCATACACTGTTATTCGACCGGCCTTCCATCACCGCTAGATCGCAGCATTGATGCGACCTGCGCCACCACACCAGATCAGCATTCCCAGAAAGCTTCGTCAAAACAAGCTGTTCTGCATAGCACCTCTTCCGCCAGGCCCTCGGCGGCCTTCGTGTGCAAAGTAGTCTGTGCATCAGTTCTGTCAACGACCTGGTCGCCACAAAGGCAGATCTCCAGCCTCCAACCGGAGAGCCTGTTGCAGGCATCTCGACAATGCCGACACCTCCACCTGACGAACTCAACAACACACGCTGCACGCTGGCTGCAACTTTCAAGCGCACCTCGTTGATGAATTGCTCTTGCAGTCCACCTGCCACAGCAGAGACCTTGATGCAAAACACACCCTGTGTGGACTACACTGCCTACAGGCCGGAAAATGCAGCGATGTCGCACCTCTCTTACGAAATTCTGGATGCAGGCACTGTCTGATGCCACCTTACAAAGCTCAGTCTAGACTGGAAACTGCCACGACATCCCTTTCAGCTGTGGATCAAAATCGTGACCGGCATTTTCACTTCGCCGTAGAATCTCGGAGGGAATGCTGAGACGTGGACCCCGCAAGCGAAGAAAAGCGAGTCGAGCCTCGCATCTTCCATCCAGCCCGAAATCCGAAACGACAAGACGCTATCTGCTGAGCCTCCTGGCCCCTGAACCGCATCGGGCGAAGCGAGCTCCTAGGCAAAATGTCAGCGCAGGACGGCCGGGATTGCTTCAGCAAAGGGAGAAGTCAAACGCATAGACAAAAAGGCCACGGATCGCGGCAGGGCGTCCGAAAACCCAGACAGACAATCATCCATCTGCAGCCCAACCCAAACCACGCCCAGCGTCAGCAGGTAAAGCAGAAAGGCAGTTCCTACAGCAAGGGTTTGCTTGAAGAGCACCATGTGGCAACCAACAGAGGATGCAATTCGGCAAGAAACTGCAAGCCGCAAACAGCTGTAACCACCCACATCCCTCCGCTATTCAAGGCTGCCACAGCTGGTATAAGAAATATTGTTGGACACAACATCTCGTTCGAATCAAGCCATGTAAGTCTGCTCATTGAAGACATAAAAGCTGTACTGTGTGCTGACTCCACGGGAAAGCTTCACAAGCAATCGACCTCATTAACTTTGAGTGAAACAGGAATTCATCAGCCAAGGACATCCTGCACGCACCTGTACAGAATTGCTGATTCCGTTGCGGCTTTTCTGTGTCGGCATGGAGCCGAGCGTCAAACAACCCAGGCTTTGCGGCTTTGAGTTATCAGACCCGTAACTTCTCTGAGCCTTTACTCTCCATGGTCAGCACACTCGCCAATCATCTCTGTAACATAAACTATACTTCTCTGGACGCATCGCATTCGATGGGACAACGTCCGATACAAGTGCAACCTGAGGCTCCGGCGCTTTCCAGTCGCTGCAAAGACTCACGCCCACGACAAGAAGCCAGCAACGCCCGCGCCTCGCATGAACTCCGCACCGAAACCCACCAGGTGCTATTCCTGCCGAATGTCCGCCTCGGCTTCCATGGGACCCTCCTGCCGTCTGAGCGGATGCTCGCAGCACAATGCAGCACATGACAATGCAACTCCTACGCATGATGTGTATGCTTCTATCCCCTTGTGCTCCGGCCGTCTCCTTGTGCAGGAGCTTCGCTGTCTTTGGCGGTACCTGATTCCACTGATCAAGTTCATCTTCTGCATGCGTTGCAATGGTTGCACGGTTTCGGTTTGCTGGGACCGGACCGCAATATACCGAAATAGCAACAGGGGCAGGGCACCAACCACCGCGCTGGCATTAGGCCATGGCTTGAAGGACGTGCTCCTGACCAGATGCAGTTTCCGCCCCCCCAACGTCCACAAGAAGCCGGCACTCAGGCCGAGACGGGCCCTGCGGGGCACCCTGAAGGAACGCCTTTGCGCCGACCTCAGTTTCGCTCTCCGGCCCTTTCCGTGGAAAAAGCCTCACCTACCCTTACAAGTAGGCCGAGATGCAGCAGAGTCGGAGTCTCTAGCCTTTGCCGGAAAAACACAGGAATCTGCCAACCTGGCCAAGCAAGGCACGAGAGAGTACGACATATCTCTGCTGGGGCGCTGCGGCCTCTGGGCCACTGTGGTACAGAGAAGATCACAAGATGCATTGCATGGGGACCGAGTTGCCCAATTCTTGCCGCGGTGCTCCGCTCGCCCCTTGGCTCTTGAGAAACCAAGGCTTGCTAATGCTTGTTGGGTGCTCCGGTGGGCCCTTGGGTGTGCTTAGGGCTCAGAGCCAGATGGCAGCGACCGGTCTTCTGCACTGCAAAGCTCCACATGCATCCGCAAACAAGCCAAGACTGTGCTGAACCAGTAATCCAACCTGTCTTCCGCTCAGGCTAAATGAAGGGTTTGCGCGCCGCGGCAGCTAGCACACGGCTCGGTTAACGTGGCTTTGGAATTGCCTGAAAAGCAGCGTTCAACGCTGGCCCTTTGGCCAGCATTGCAGTGCTTGGAGGTCTCAGGAGCTTCAATCCCGCCCCTTGAAAGCAAACATGCACTGCCGGGACCTTTGGCAGAATTCAACTACGCGTCGTGGTGGCTCTCTGATTCTGATGAACCATGGGAAGAGTGGCGCATAGCTGTATTGCTCCAGGAATGGTCCGTCAACTCTGGCACCTTTATGGCTCGTCAGGCGCGGAGGGCTCATCTTTACGGGGGAAGGCGTCGTAGTGGTCGAAAGCTTGACTCAACGGATTGCAGTAGTTCGCCTGCCAGGGGCCACGGCTTGTGCATCCAAGGTGGGTGATCCTTCGCCCCTACCACACCTAACAGGAAGACCGTGAGAACTGGACTCACACAACACTACCGGCAGCACCTGCCAAGACAAAAACAGGAACCACACGACGCCCCAGCTGCCCTGCAGAAGCGCAGCATGCAAACGCCGCCAGTCCCCGACGCTACTGTCCTTGGAGAGGCATGGAACAAGAAATCATTGTCCGATGGCATGTCTAACATGAAGCAGGCAACTCGGCGAGCAGGGTCGACAACGAGGCGTGCCGGAAGGGACCAAACCGGTCAAGGCTGAAACAGAGATGCAGCATTGAGAGGCGCCGAACAGCTAAACACTCAGGGACCTGACAAGCTCGACAAATACTGGCCAACACATTTACAAAGCTTGATGAATCTCTGCTCAGACCGACTCAGACCTCACCTTTGCATAGTTGCAAGTCCAATAATGTGCCTTGCAGCACAGTGTAGCTCAAGTCAAAAGAGAAGCAAGCTGTCAGCCGAGAATCATTTTTGCCGAGACCCACAGGCCTGCGAGGCCATGGAGGGACGTCCAGGTCGGCGACACTTCTTCGATCCCTTAGAGAAGCTTGGCTTACTGAAGCTCGTTCAACTTGTACCTTGATGTCTTCATGTTTGACATGAGTGCCGTCCCATGCTGTTTGTCTTTGGATGAGACAAGCCTCTCCCCAAACTCGAAAACATGTCTCTCCATTGCCTGTAATGACTCCAGCGTTTGAAAGCGCTCGCCAGAGCCGTCTGCACAGCTTGTCCGAAGAAAAGCCTCCTTCTTACGCAGCAGCTGCCACTCGAAATCGCTCAAGAGCATGCATCCAGTGGGCAAGCCCTGCCGAACAAGCTCTTCATTCACGGCAGTCGCAGCAGCATCGTCCAGCGCAACAATAACATCGTGCTCACGTAAAGCTTCCTGGCTCAAGGAAGCCCACATACCAGCACCCAGCTTCCGGAAAATCTGCTGCAGCTCCTCTGAGTCCATCCCCACGTTTTGGGCAAACTCAGAGATGCTGTCCTTGACCATCCCGGCTTCCGAGAAAACCTCTGAGATGCCGTCAGAGCTGTCGGGCTGCTCGCGCGACGAGCAGGCGTAAAACTCCAGGACTCGTCCCATGCCGTTCCACTCAGCGGCAGCGTCTGCCAGGCGCTGGGCCAAGCGTGCGCGGACGTAGCCCGGAGTCCGGGCCGAATCAACGAAGAGGACGGAGACGAAGCATCGCGTCCAGTCAAGTCCCGAGGATAATGCACTGAGGCGACCGGAGTGCCAGTCGTCGATAGGGCTTGCAGAGCTCGAAGAGCTCGAACTTTGGCTCTCCAAGCTGCATCGGGCCACACTTCGTTGTCTGCGTCGAGAACCCTCTGTACAGAGCAGAGAACTGCAGAGCGCCGCGAGGGCCAGCGACCTGTGCTGACAGGTCAACAAGGGATGGAAAAGACGCCACTTGACAACGCCATCCGTGACGCCATAAGTCGCTCATGTCACGCATGTCACTGTCCCTGCCTTGGCCCAGGCACCCTCGCCTCCTTTGCAGGGCGAGGCCGAGCTTTCGGCTGGCTGGGGCCGCTGGGGCTCAGGGAAATCGGTGTGCTGACCCACGCGCTACCTTGCAGTGCCATGGTCGCGGCCGTGTACGCGCTGCGCCGGGTAAGCTACTAGTATCGTATCATCTGCTTCTCGGCTGGGAAGCTTAGCTTAAGAAAATCAAACCTCGTCCGGAGGGACGGATTTGATAGGCCAGATCAGTGGCACGGCTTCGGTCTGGCAATACCCTGCATGCTCTGATCTGCTCTACACCCTGCTTCATAATCTTGGCCGAAAGGGCTCATGCAAGGGTCAATGGATGCTGGAACGCAGCAGACAGCTTCAGCTTCATGATCTGGTTCTTCCGAGGCTCCAGCTGTTCTGAAGCGGAGTGCCGGTCAAAAGCAACCGCATTCGACACCTCGCCAGCGTCACACGTCTCTGGGATAATATGGATCTCTCAAAGCTACCTGCTCGGCTGAACCGCCAAGCTGAACTGGCCTGAGCTTGGTCATGGTTGCGTGCAGCAAGGTCTCGGGATTCTTGAGCCGGTGACCTGCGTCGAGGAAAGACTGATTAACCGTATCCAGATCCTTGTAGCTTTACGAAGCCTTCATCCACGATCACAAGCTGCCAGTCGGTCTTCATCAGGAGTTCGTTGCGGTGAACCTTCGCAATCTCTGCAGACGTAAAGTTCCTCACGGGTTCCCCCTCCCTTCTGTCACACATGGCCTGCTCGTAGTTGGTGACACAAACAACGACCTGTCACCCGGACGACGGAGATTTTGTGTGCCACGAGCTTTAGCTATGGTTGGATGTAACTTGGACAAACAGTGGCAGACCTGGTTACCACACAGGCTCCGTTGAAAGGCCGACAGCTCCACCTCTCGCGACTCCTTCGGAGAGAGCTGCTGCGCAGGGTATTCAAGAGTCTTCACATCTCACAACTGCCGCGTGGAAGCAAGTGCAGCCTTCCTTTGCGAAATCCTTCGAACGCTCTCCGACAAGCATGGCACTTGCGGAAGGGATGCCTGGTCCCCAACAAGGACATGCACCACCACGGATGGCGCAAAGCGCTGGAATTCGGCCTGGCAGCAGGACAGCATCCAGCCGTACAGCAGCAGGGCTTGTGCTGCGAGCAAACATCGCCTGCCAGTTCCCCAAGCAGGATTTCGGGGCGACGATGAGGTGTGGCCCAGCGTTCTGCTTGCGCTCCTGCCGATGGCATATAGTTATAGTTTCGGCCCTTCCCCGGAGCTCCCAAGCGCCCCTTCCTGCAGATGGAGCAGCAGAGCGATGGACTGTATCGTTTTCCCAAGGCCCATTTCATCCTTCCAAAAGCTTCAGTCTCAGCAGCTCTGCCCGCGCCAAAGCCCTCGACCGACTGAGCAAGTGGCCGCTAAGATACCATGCAGACCATTCACCTGGCAAGCGCCCGAGGACTGCACGAACGACGGACGCGACACAGCCCTGGGGAAGCTGCGTAAAGCGAGGCCAGCCATTCCAAGCCCTCAACCTTCCAGGCTCAGGCATAAAGAGATCGGAGATCCGCAGCTCGTAGCATGCCCTGGCCTGGTGGTTCAGCAGCTCGGCTTGGAGGCTTTCCGGAGGCGATGCATCCGGCTCCTGCACTCAGACCACAGACACCGCGGATACAGCCGCACGGCCCGACCACAGCCTGCTCTTTGTGCACGATTCTCGTGTAGAGCTCCCGCCGATCTCCAGGGGCCGTGCTGCGGAACTCCTGGCAAGCCACACCGGGGAATTCTGCGCAGCTGTCGCGCCGGCCAAATCCAGCTCCCATGCAACAACAATCCTTGCCTCGAGTGCCTCCGTGCTGCGTCGCCGGAGCAGCTCCTCGGCGTGTCCTTGTGCCGGCCAGCATCTCCATACCTTCGCCTTCTTCGCAACTCCGGTCCTTGGATCTCTGCCAGGACCTCTTCGAATCTGCGCTGTGTCATCTCCACCAACTTGGCCTGACAGAAGTAGTTGCCAAGCCCTTGTGCCTGACATCAAAAGCTGCCCGGAATTCGTTAAAACCAACGGAGGTGCAGCGTCTTCAATTATTTCTTCGACGAATTTCTCCGGCTACGCCTCTTCGGCCTTCCTCTCCTTGGCCCTCTCTTCATAGCTCAGCTTTCTCCTGGTCAGTGGTGCAAACTGCAACTGCGCAGAGAGACTCCTGTGCTCATCTGCCTCTTGCCATCGAGGGCCTGGGTAGAGGCGTTCATCGGCATCTGCTGCTCCTTCCCGGCCTGCTTGAAAGTCTCAGACCGATGCGTTTTGATCTGTAGGTGTCGTGGTCTGTGGCCTCGGCGTTCCAGCTGGCTCATCGAGCGGCTCGCAATTGATGAAGGCTTGACCCATCTGTCTAAGCCATCAACAGTGTTCCTGCCGTGCGCTTTGCAGATGCCTCGACTGGCAGCAAAGCACTTATCACGGACACGCGCTGCAAGCCTCAGCGCGATGCCTTCTGCACCTTCCAGATCTCGATTCCCTTCCAACAAAAAGCGAGAGAGAGAGAGAGAAAGAAAAAGAGAGAGAGAGAGAGATAGAGAGAGAGAGAGGTTGTATAGCGGTGAAGAAGCACAGGCAGGTGCATCCACTGCACGCCACGCGCTGCCTCGCCTTCTCCACGGCCTCGGGCGTCAGCTGCTGTCCTGATGGCGTGACCCGGCGCTCCTGAGCCCAGGCCTCGGTCGGATGCAGTCGGATGCTCAGGGCTCCCGTGGTGAATTTTCCGGCTGCCTGCAACGTGTCGCAGCTGCCCGCATCCCCCAGGCGATCCGCGACGATCTCCAAAGCCTGCACTCGTGTCGCGATGCGGAGAAGCGGCCGGGTGAGCAGAGCTTCACCGGGAGCCTTCACGACGTCATCAATCCGAATCGTGCGGATCCTGCCAGGACTTGCGGGATCCCTGCTCACAGCGTTGAACCGTGGAACGCATGGGTTAGGCCTTCTGGAGGGAGCCATCGGCTGCGACGCTGCGACTTCTTCTATGAAACAAGAAAGATCTTAGAAACTGTATGCGCAAATCAGTTGAAGTGTGCTGCGGACGTCCCGCTCAGTGGCTCTCGAGGCTATGCTCTGCGTGGTGGTAACCAAGAGTGCTGCTGCGCACTTCGATTCAATGCTTTGTCTGAACCAAGGCAGGCCAGCAGTCTTCGACCCTGGGAAACGCGGTCAGGTCCAAATCCGGAATTGCACATTAAAAGAGCAGTAGAATGACGTTGCTATGCCACGGCCTTGAACTAGCGAATTAAAGCTAGAAGGGCTTCGAGAGTCGCATGCCAAACAAGCCTAGGGCCTAGACGAGGACCGCTGTTTACAGTTCTGTTCGCAGGTGGCAGCCGCGCGCAGAGTATATTTCAGTGCGCAACAGCGCGCCGTTTTGTCGCGCATCGCAGCTTCCAGCCCGTGACTTCGGCCTTTTCCCGCCACCGGCAACATTGCGCGCGAAATCGCACTGAGCGAGCAGCTTCTACAGCTCTGTCGCAAAAGGTCCAAACAGCCGTGTGTCCTTCCACTTGTTGTGGCGGATGTCACAGCAAGGTCCATGGCTCGGCCAATGGCTGTTGGAGCTGCAGGTGTGGCCACAGTCCGTAATCTTTCGACATCAAAACCTTGACACCGGTGATCACCGGTGAGTATCATGCTATCCTGCAGTGTTCACCCTGCTGCTGGCAACTCCACTGCAGAGCGCAACTTCAGACGAATGTCTGATGAAGCATCACAGAGCCCGCAGGCCTTGGACGAAGCACCCAATGCCCTAAATTTACTTGAGCCGCTTCTGGCAATAGCGCAAAGCTACTTGCCAATGCAGCCACAGCCCTGAGACTAAGGTGGCTGCGCTGGAGTGTCCTCGCAGTCAAAAGGCCCGTAAACGCTTTACACACACTGCTTGCTTTCGCACTCCCGGCTCGTGCAGACGCCACAAGACTCTTGGCTCTCAAAGCCCGCCGAAGCGCCTCGAACATCTCCAGAACTTGTGCCATACCGGGACCATCAGGCATCACTCGCTCGTCATACACGACCACGACCACCTGACGGGAAAGAACTCGTGATACCTCTGGCTCACAACTCCAAACAGGCAAAAGCCCACAAGAAAATGCATGAATGTTGCTTCGAACTGCTTCGCATGACGCACCTACGCATCTGAGAGAACGGCTTCTTACCGGTGGAATTCCTACACAACCATCCAGACCATTCATGAACGACTTCGTTTCCCACGGCCTCATCAAGTGGCTGCAAGAAATGCGTCGCCCCATAGTCTGTGTACTCCTCGGTGCATTCTGTGCTGCTTTCAAAGGGAAAGCCTTGGGACCAAAGCCGGTAAGAGCTTCGTCCGAGATGCGCCAGCCCCGAGCGCAATCCACGAGGAGGTCGGGAAATCGCTCGCGGCAAGTTGAGGAAATATCTCCTCAAGCTCAAGTCAACCGATGTTCAAGGCTTCAACTTCATGGTCGACGGAACCGCTCCCATCAAGTGACGTTGCGAACATTTGCACAGTCCTCCCACTTGTCCGTGTCTTTTTGACCGTTAATCTGCTCAACGATCCACTCCAAGAGTGGCTCATGGAAGAGCAAGTAGTTCCTGCGATGGCGTCTTGTCGAAGCAACTAACATGCAAACTCGACTGACCAGAAGGCAGTCCTGACTGGCGCCTTCACAGAGTACTGGAAGACCTCCCCAACAGGAAGCATGACCCAACTCCATGCACGGTGGCCTTGCAAAAGCAAAAACCCAAACCTTAAAAATCGCTTCCAACTGCTTCGGTTCGTTCTGCTGGACGAGCACTTGTGGGTGCAGGCAGGGGTGAAGAGACAGTGTCGGACGAGCAAAGTGCACCTCTCCGTCCCGCTTCATGTAGGACCTGGGCTCTGCAGGATATTCTGCCGAAAGGTCACTTCAGTGCCTAGGTGGGGGACACCAGCGCGAGGAAGTCGACGAAGGTGCCCGGACCGAAGCTGTCGATTGGAAAGCTTCGGAGGCTAATTCCTGCTCAGTCTCGGCACGAAGAAGGCAGACAAAAAGGAACAGCTCGTGCAGTCAGCCGGATATTCTTCCGACGCAAACGCAGGCCCTTCATTTTGGGCTTGGAATCTGCTGGGGTGATACCATCATTGGACTGCCGTGCGGATCAGACTTCCAGTGCATTTCGGGGCCCAGTTTTTGCCAACACTGCAAAACCAAACTAGGCCTTTGCTGCCGAAGCCCCAGTTCTTCTTCATGCTCCTTATAGCCAGGTCCGAGACGCTACTGCGATTTGACAGAACTTCGAATTCAGCCAAAGAGCAGCTTCTCTGCACCCTCCAAGCTGCGAATAGAGCAATCCTGCGTGTGGCGCACCCTAGACTCCTAGTGGCCCTAGAAGATCTGGAGCAAGTGGCGGCCAGAAAGCTGCTGCTGATCGCCGCACAGCTGCTGAGGCAGCGGCGTTGAAGGCAGCCACTCGCCTTCTAACAATGTCACAGTCGTAGGTGGCAAAGCTGACTGCACCCCTTGAAACACTTTCTTCTGCAAAGACCTGGGGACCAGGTGGTCGACGCGCTTGCGGTCCTGAGGCAACCAGGCGAGCTAGCTTTATGCCTGCTGCTGGCGCTCCTTCCAGTCCCTTCTTCTGCCGTGTCTATGTTCCCGTAGGGTCCTTCGTGTAAACGATGTCAACCAGCAGCCCGAGCTCAGGTTCAACTTGAACCTGCCGTCTGGCAATGAAAAGCTTTGCAACGTCAAGCACACAGGAACCCTGCGGCCTTGCAAGCACCAGGGAGCTTTGGGTAGTCGATGACTGCCTCGGTAGGATCGCAGCGGCTGCTACCAGAAACCGGTACAGAGAGGACATTTCAGCCCTGCGAACTTCGTCGCAGCTTCTCCGGCAACTCGGCCACTGGCATAGGTCACCGGAAATTCCTGTAGTCGTTTCTTGTCTGCCTGACCGAGCCAGGGAGACTGGGAGCCGATGCGGAGCCAGGGCAGCTATGGCCTGCTGGTCGCTGACCTGATACGGGTGAGGAGGCCTCAGGAGCAGGCCCAGGCACTCCAAGTCCGACTTCTTTCAATGCCAGCATCCAAGCCGCATGTAGTAGCTGAAGATGGCGGCTGGCTTCGTGGCAGAATGGCTCTCCTCATCTGTGCATATTGTCACCGCTCGTTGAGGCAAATGCGCGACACATGCCACGTAAAAAGGATGAAACTGCGGAAATGAGAAACGCCTTCCAACAACGGTGAGAGCACAAAAAGTTAGCTGGCTTCATGTCCAGGGTAGCAAGAACCTCACTGAAGCCACTTCTCAACGACGGGACCCAGGAGGACACCGAACTAAGTGAAGAAAGCGCCGACCACAATCAACTCAGACTCAGACCGCACAGTCAGCCTTACAGCCATGCAGCAACACATGACAAGCATGCTAGCAGCTTTTGGAAAAGAGTGCAGTAGAAGTGAGTCAATGAAGTCACATGCAAGATGACTCTCCCTGCTGCTATGGCCACAGAAGCTGTCGAGATGTCCCTGAATGTCGCTGGTCCTGTCCAGCCTCGCCGGCTTGCGCCATGTGCCCTGCCAGCACGGACCCGACCAGAAACGGAAGTTGACACTGGCAGTCAGAATCGGCGCTTGCACAATGGCTGAGGAGATGTGGAAGAATCCCGCCTGCCACGTTTCCAGCCACCCCAAGGCCTCATGTGACTGAAAGATGGGGTCTGACGAACACCACGGTCTTTGCATGTCTTCAAACTACTAAAACAGTTTGACCACTGCACTTTATGTACCAGCCGAGCTTCCGCAACACCGATGCCACAGCTTCAGTCTTCCTGCTTGTCGCATCATCTGCACAACCTCTCCAAAGACGTTCAATGACAAATTCCACTTCAGGCTTGACGCTTCGGCTACAAGCAAAGCAGGGGAAGGCTACCTTGAAGTTGTTGATGAAGCTGCTGAAATTGATATGATCCATTCCCCACGGGTCCTGTTCACAAGTTTGCGCTGCGGACGATTTAGGGGCAGTACAGCAGCTTCTTGCCAATCAGCTTAAGGCAGTCTCCAGCTGCTTTGCCAGGTGTTCTGCGTGCTCATCAGACTCGAATCTGTAGCACAAGGACCTCGCAGGCATGTTCCCCAATTGCAGTACGCTTGACAAGCATTTGTCCAGCACTGTCGCGAGTCAAGACAGCATGTTCTGAGTATCATGAGTATGCTGAGTCAATCACTTTAGATCTTTGCGCGTGACGTAGCCTTTCTTTTTCCTGACGAATCATTCAGAGAAGTTGCACAACATGCGAAACGAAAAGTGAAGAGAAGACGTGAACTTCCCAGCCTATCGAGTCGTGTCCAAACGGCCCACTCTCGCCTCCGCTTGCATACTGTCCAGTTCAGCCCAAAACGAAAAGCCGTTGCGAGTACCTAACAGTTGGCTCAGACAAGAGGCGGATGCGTCGCTTTGCTAGGCTGACGTCTTCGACGCTGCTCCCTGCGAATCCAGTAGACAGCCTTGGTCGCTCTGGAAAGCAGAGATGCAAGAAGATACTAACAAGGCGAAGCCAGCTAGGCAGCAGAGGCCGTCATGGCACCGGATACGAAGCCCAAGGTGGCAGCTTTGGGCACCTTGGAGTTGCCCCAAGAGAATTCGCGACGTTCCGTGAGGCCTCTGCCCCGCCGCCCCGCCGCCCCGCCTCGGCATCGCGGAGCGGTGCACAGTGGGATGGCGGAGTGTCCAGGTCAACGCCGCCGACCTTCAAAGGTTCGGCCTTGGACTCGGAGACTCGGACGGAGGCCGAAGAGACTCGGACGGAGTCCACAAAAAGACCCAAGTGCTCGCTTGGCCCGAGTCACCCGTGCAGCGGAAACCAGAACAGCAGCACTCAACGCCGTTGCTTTCACACCGGGCATGGCTCTAGGTTGTGGCATGCATGGACCGTCTGTGTTCACATCTTGGTTCCGAAAGACCAAACTTCTCCAGGATTTCATTACCATGCAACTTTGAACGCTCATGTTGCTGAAGCCTGAAACTGTGACAGCTGCAGTCGCGTCAATCTTGTGGTGAGAAAGCTCATGACCAGTTGGAGAAGAATCTGCAAGCCGTAGATGACGTGAAGCTTCTCATGATGCCACTGATTTTTACCGCAATCGCCCGCGGTTTCGATACCTCAGAAGCATTGAAGCGCTGAAATCTCATGGCTATCTGCGCCATGCGATGCCATGCGGCAGCCGGCTCCGCTCTCGAGCTCTCCGCGAGCTCAGGCAGCTGCCAGGAAACGTGTGCACGGTTCTTCCGTGAGAACCAATCGTACCTGATTGGTTTCAGTTTATCCATAACCGCGGTAGAATGCATTACAAAACCTGTCCTGAACACATCGAGCCAAACTGAAACTCTGCCCCCACGAAAGTGACACAACTGAAGCCCTTGCTCAGCAAACGGCCCTGCATACCCTGCGAATTACACTCCCCGACCTTGCCAAAAGGCACAGCGCCGCTTCCGGAGATCCCGCTGGAAAAGGAGGCGCCTGAAGAGAAGACTCCCGCACGATGTTTCCTGCTCGAGCGCATGCCCGAACCGGCCTGAGCCAGCTCCTCCCAAGAAACGCCTGGCACGTGACAGCAAAACCGCAAAGCCGACCCGAAAGCACGCTGCAGCCCGCGGGCAAGGCCTGGGTCGAAGTCCAGCTGCCGCGCCAAGTGCTCCAAGCTGCGTCGGGCATCGAAATGCATCAAAGTCATCCCAGAAAGAAGCATGCTCTCTCCCGAGGTTGCCACTGGCCACGGAGAATCAAACGCTCGCCACGTCGCAGTCTGTCACAGCGGCTGCACGTTGCATCGCCGCAAGCATCAAAGACAGCAAAGTAAAAAATTACATAAGCGACCCCTACCATAGGAGAAAACCTGTGCGCAAACTGATTGCTGTGTATTCGACAGGCAACTACTTCAAGCGTGACCCTGGTTCGGACAAGTTAAGCCTCAGCCTTGACAAGTAAGTGCGGACGACCTTGCAATGACACTGATTTGAACATCTGGCAGCTGCCTGTCCACGCTGTTGACTGCTGAGCGGATGAAGTCGAAGACGAGAGGCTCATCTGGCGTCAGCCTGCAGCACGAGCCACGAGTCTCTCCAAGCATGACGCAAGTTTCAATGGCTCCCAGAGTGGCTCGGCGGGGCCCTGGTCACTGCTTCGCCTTCCCATGATTCGAAGAAGACCCAGTGTTTCGCACATCTCGTGCATGGAAACCGCCGCGGCACCTTCCACGTGAAGCCAAGATCGGCCAAGCAGTCAGAAGCCGCAGAGTTCAAACCGCGCAGCTGGGCCCCGCCTCTTGCGGCAGAGCGCGCCTCTGCCAATTCCAGTGCCTGCTGGCTGAGGCGGTGTTCGCCAAGGCCGAGGCCCAAAAGGCCTCCAGACTCGAAGCCCGGGCCGTGCAGTTGCAACCTGGAGCAAACGCTGAGACCCCAGCCGTGCCGGAGCAGGATCAACCTGAATCGCTCTGGCCAGAGCCCATAGGGTTCCATGAATCCATCATGACTTCACGTCCGTTGCTCAAAGCACAAGTGAAAAGACAGCAGAAAGCAGAACTGCGGGGCCCCACTCGGGCAGCTCCAGGTCCAAACGGTCCAGGTCCAGCAGGCGAAGCACGCGCTGGCAGAGAAGAGAGTACAGTTTCTGGACATCTCTAAACTCTATACTCTGAGCCGAGAGCTCGAGGCACACCAGGCAGGCCGGCTCCTTTGGCCTGCTCGATGCCAAGCGGTGACCCTACCATGACGTCTCCGACTTGCCAAGCCAAACAAAACAAACCACGCCTGCAACAAGCCCAGCGCCCCTACGGACCTGGCAACGCTTTTGGGAGCACCTGGTCACGCAGAATCGAAGCGGCACAGCCATGGCCATCGGTTCCAGCTGCAGAAATGGATCCAGAACCTGCGAAGGCAGCATCTTGCCGCGTGCTTCGCCAAAAGGTCTCCTCTGGGTGTGCGCATTTTGCCAGAACTGTTCGGGGACCGGAGACTCTTCGAAACTCATATTACGAATTGTCTTGTCGATAATCCGACGTTTGGAGACAGCAGCCGCAATGCATGTTCGAGCTTCGCTTATGCTTCCCCTCCCTAGACTCGTGTGCGGAAGTGATGCCGACCTCTGCCAGTACAACTGACACTGCAGCTGAAGTGTCCACATGCAACCTCAATGTCGCAAGAGGGTGGAGACCCCAACGCACGTGCTCCGAGCACCTTTGCTGTCCCTAAGCAAATCAGCCAGGTTGCGGCCAGCACAGCGCCGCAGCCAACAGCGGTCTCGGTCCAACAACACGAAAGTAGTACAAGCATAAATGCAGCATAATCGGTTGTCACCCCGACCCTGAGAAGCGTGCTTGGCCAAGTACTCAGCTTGTGATGCGGATGGCGGGCATGCAGCCTGGCCACCGCAACAGGGCTTGTGCCAAAGCAGCTACTGGCACTGCAGCTCGACCCAACGAAGACTATTACAGACCATACCGATTACTGCTAGCGCAAACACAGGCAAAGTAAAGAATTGTCGCTTTCATTGACACACGACCCCAAGCCGACACCTCCAGCGCTTGCGGCAGCAACTTTTCAAGGGCTGCTCGGGCTTCTGCTGCCTGGAACAACGGCAGCACGGCCATGTGCTACTGTGTGCCACGTTATCGAAATCGCCAATACTTGCAACTTTAGTCCTGTGTCGCGTCGCTGGCAGAAGCAATGAAAAGGCCCATCGAGAGGCAGGAAGACGTTAGTTGGCCTGACGCTCACTCTTGGACTGTCTCAGGCACAATACCAGCTCATAAGATCTCGTAAGCACCAAGGTTCTCAGGAGACGGGCGCTCAAACGATCTAGCGTCAACAGTATAATGTCTTGCAACTAAGATGCTTGCATCAGAGGGGTCTGCATTGGCCACCTGGGCATGCAGCGCATGCTAAATCCTTGTGCTTCAACAATTAAACACACATACAGACTTCTAATGGTATGCACGACACATGCGGCTTGAGGTTTTGCGCAAGCACGTCTGGCCGCACTCCCGCATCTTGCCTTGACCTGTCACACCTCAAAGGGCTCGGCTGCCAAGCGTTGGGCAGCAACCAGTAGCAGAGGCCTTAGGAGCTTGTTTCCTCTATTCTCCTCTTGTGTCTGCGTACACGCAGTACGCTTCAATTCGGAAATGAACACAAGGCAGTCTTCGTTTCAGTGTCGAACTTTGCGAAATCGGAGTGCAACACGAGCAGGTGCTCCGACAGCGAAGCCTAACTCGCATTGCTTGGGACCGATCACTCTCCCAATCATGCTTTATCGAGGCCCCTGCAACGACGCGCAGGATTTCAGACGAGGTCAGCACCGCACTTGCGTCGTGAAGCTCCTTCAAATCACCACCCATAGAACCCAGTCTTTCAGTGGCCCTAAACCCTGTGCGACTGAGTGCCACCACCTTCAGCAATCGCTTGAAACGCAGCTTGGCGGGATCTGTCCTTGCCAAGCTGGTAACCATGGACCAGCGCAGTGCTCTGAGCTAACACTTCAAGTAGGAGACCGATTCGCGACATGAAAAAAACGATTCGCCTACCTGGCAGCAGATACACGCAGAGCGGAATCTGGGATGCACAGAAGGCCACCGGCGTGTGCGATCCAGAAGGATAATGCTGCCATGTGCATGGTCACAACATGGGAATATTCGTGAACACATTGTGGTCCCCTGCCTTTCAGAGGACATCTGCTCACACTGCGAAACGCAGCGGTCCACCTTGTGCCGAGGAGACTGCCCGCTCTCCAAGGCTCTAAGAACTTGTTGACATGCCCGTTTAGGTTTAGGTGTTCCAAAGCTAAGCGACGGTCAACACAAGGCAGTCCTGCCTTGTCCCGCAGCGAGAGCTCCCTTCTGAAGGCCCGCGTGGCACGGTAAAGGCCTTTGACACGGTCGGGCCTTGGCCAGTGCCTATCGTCAGACCAGTGCCGATAAGGTGAAGCTGAGCCTCCGGCACGCCGACAGTGATCGGCCTTCAGAGAAGTAAAGAGGTTTGGAATGCTGCGGGAGCCGTGCCGAGGACCACCCAACAACTCAGCAATCGGCCGAGCCCTTCGCAGCCCGCTGGCACACGGAGCATGGGCCTCCGACACAGAGCGACCACTAGAGAAGGCAAGATGAAAGAAGCTCGGGGATGCTCGGGGAAGCTCGTCGTCAAACGAATGCGCCCTCAGTGCCTGCAAGAAGCCTTGCCATGTCCAGCGCAGCCTGTCCGTCAATCTTCCATGGATTTCACTCAATCTCAGGATGAGATGGCAAGGCTCGCTCCAAGTGTGGCAACAGCAAAGGCAAAAAGGGAAAGACTCGGGAAAGACTGGGGGGCCGCAGATTAAGCGTGAAGTGAATCCGACAGGGGGGGACGTGTTGGGAATATACCCGTCCCGGCGGCTCCTGAACACATTTGCGCTGACTGCCATCAGCTGTCGCAGGTGGAATCTACTCAGACATCACAGAACTGCGTCGGCTAGCAACTATGGTCGGATCAGAAAACCTAACGGTCATCGGTTGCATGTCGTGCCGGTGATGCGATCGTGCTGTCCGATGGCGTCCAAACTGGTGACTTGTGCTGCTGCTTAGCAGCTGATTCTAGAAACAAACGTTCTGCAGAGAAGATGCTCGTAGAACGGCAAACAATAACCAGCAGAGTATCTCCGCCCTGCACAACGAATGCACGGAAGGCGCCGGGTACACCGATCTTGGACAACTTAGCCATGGACAAACCCGGCAAGTGAAGTTGCTCCGCGGGACTCTCTGTATTGATCTCACGGCTACTTGTGACTGCATCTCACTAGACGTACCCACAAGCAAGCGCAAGTTGAGCTGGGCTTGCATGCGGCCCATTCGGAACGTTACGGGGTAACAGAAGAACAGCCCAGGATGCTTTTAGAGATGCACGGAGCTCCAAAAAGCTCTGCAACGAGCTTCATCTGTACAATGCAGCTGCCGGCTGCCAAGGCCTTGGAACCTTGAGTTAAACGATCTCTTCGAGAAGACACAAAAACTGTTGGAGGGCACAAGACCCTTCCACTCTGAACAAGCAGGAACATCTACTTAGTAGATCTCCATGTCATAAAGCCGTTTAAAACTGATGCCATGCATGTGCAGCAGCACATGCTAGAACATTATCATGCGAGCTCAACTTGTTCGTCACGTCCCAGGGCAGGCAGGTGTCCTCTGCTTGCGCACGAGGCTTGGAGGTGCAGTCTGAAAGGCTTCTGCCCAGGTGCCAACATGAGCTCGTCGGCATTTGACTTCGGTCCTTCCGCATACTCAACACAATCCGTGCAGTGGTGAAATGCAGCATTGAGCCGGAGGCCTCTTTTCGCTCTTGGTGGCGGTTGGCTCAAACCTTGAGGGGAAGCCAACTGTTACCCCATCACCGAGATATCTTGCGACTACCAAAGCGAAAACTAAGGCAGGCGCAGAAACTTCTCCTGCTCATGGAAATTTTCAACTTCCATCATCTGACAGGATTTGATCCTTGCAAGACTTGTTCGTCGTGAGTCTGGGAGTCCGGTTTCACAAGATTATAACATTACTCTACCACACAGGGCACAACAGTTTCTGGTAGGTCAACCGACGAGAAACTCGTGCTAACACCAGGCGCATCCAGGCGCACAGCAGCAGCAGCAGCAGTAGCATCAGTAGTGGTAGTTGTTGTAGGTAGCTGGTGCGTCTGCTGCCGCGCGGGGTGGTGCCGATTCCTTTGTTGGCAGGTGCTGAAACTCGAGTTTTGGCACTCCTTACGCCCGAAATTGAACTCTGCTTTTGCTTTCGCATCGTTTTTTGCAGTGTTTTATAGCAAAAAAAGCGTGCCAGCCGGGGGGCTGCACTGTTCAAAAACTGTTGTTGTGGGCAGTGGTAGTGGTAGTGCTATTACCCTGAAGTTGGACAAGATTCATCAGCTATTGAAATTTACATTAACTGCGGGAAGATGCTTCCTGCCATGCAGAAGCAAAAGAGACCGTCCTGTTGTCGAGAACGTCGTCCATATGCTCAGAGTGCTCGTGGTGCATCGACCTTCTGTGGATATGGTACCACAGAAGCTTCGGAAAAAGGGTTGGGGCCACCTCATGGAGCCGAACCATTCTCTGCACGTACGCTTCACATCTCCCCTCAGATGCGAATCTCTCGCTGCGAAGCAGCACACACGAAACATGGGAGGCTCGATGCAAGAAAGGCTCACTCGGACTTTGCTTGTGAGCACAACCTCCTGCTCGATCTGCGAGGGAGACATCTTGCCGAGCTCGATGTCGTCCAGGAGATCCTCCACACCTGGACTTCGGCAGTGTCGACGTGATGACAGCATGGATGACATGCCTCCGGATGTGTTCGAGCAGCTCTTTTACCTGTCTGTCTGTTCGTCCGTCCGTCGGTCCGTCCGTCCGTCAGTCTGTCTGTCGGTTTCTGTCTGTGTCTGCCTTTCGCAAGGCTAGGGGCGAGTTGCTGTCTGTCTGTCTCTCTGTTTCTCTCTGTCTCCTGTCCTCTTCTTACATGTTGTGTTTTGTGTGTGGGTGTGTCTTAAGCATCTCCACCCTGCGACTGCCCAATTTTCCCTTCCCTTCCTGCAAAGCCTCCGAGAGCTGCAATTTGCCTCACTGCTCTCTGCGTCTCCTGCTTGTATCACATGTCATGTTAATATGCCTCACTGCTTCGCCGAGTGGCAGTCTTCAATTTCTGCCTCTGCAGCGGAGGAGTCCAAGGTTGGCGTACCTGCGCTTTTCATGCGGCGTGAATCCGAGACTTTGAAATCTCCGGACTTCGGAACTGCAACGTGGCCGAGTTGGACACAAGCTGCCTATGCACACTGGTCAGTCTTGATTCCGGACCCCGGAGCTTTGCAATACCAAGGCACCCGACCCAATCATCGAAGAAACGCGATCTGGCAGGGTCGTGAACGGGTTAACATTTTTCTCTGCAGATGAAGAGAAGAGCCTTGCCACGGCTTCGTGACCCTAGATTATGGAGCAAGCCTCCTCACAAACTCCCATGTCACCAAACATTCACAAACGGTGGCTGCAACATCCCTGCTGGCCTCTGTGAACCGGGCCCGAGTATCCAACACAAGCAGTTGGGTTTGACAGTGGAACCTGCGGGCAATGCTTGACCATCGAAGTTCCATGTTTCACTCTCACTGCACGAGACTCATGACGCAGGGTAGCCTCATAGCAACGATGCTCAGGGTTGTATCTTCCCATCCATTCGGTTCTCCGTGATCTCCAATGGGTCATTCTAGTGCTGCCTCAGGACGAACGAAAACTCAAGTCACTGGTAGCTGACTTGACGCAAAGGCACACGTGTTAGAGTATGCATGACTCGAGCATCACGAGTGCCACCCAGGCACAACTCTGACAGTTCCACTCCTCATTGCCCGAGTCATGCTGGTGAACCTGTTCAATTGTCGGCTGCCAACCCCGGTGGCAGCACGAACCGTGATAGAAGTCTGAACCGTGAACAATGCCCAACCCACTCCAAAGGAACGGGTTCATCCTGTAACGAAATAATCGGGCACATGGCTTGCAACTGGTTCTAAATTCTAGACTTTGCATCGCAGCCTGCCAGATGAGAAAAAGGTAGTCAACGAAGGCATGATGCAAGAGGAAAACTGGATCCGCTGTTGCAAACGGCAGGATGGCCATGTCTCCGCCTGGACCAGGCACGCAGGTGCTGTCGTTCTGGTTGGCCCCGAAGGTTCAAATCCAAGACAGAGAGAGACGTCGTTGTTCAATCATGCTAGCTTCTGGCTTGCATATGGACCTAGCAGAAATCATGCACAGACTACATATCTCACCTGCCGGTCCAGCCTATTGCGACATGGAGCTGCGCGTGAACAGCTTCAATCCAGGATTGGAAATGCTCAAACCTCGTCCTCCGATAAAGGCCTGCCTGCAATCAGCATTACACAGCTGCTTACCGCACAATGAGTGCAGCAAACGACATCAACATGTGTCGAGTCTGCCAAAGTGCTATCAGCACCGGAAAGGCTGTGAGATGAAAATCATCACGCGGAGCTCGGTTCACACAATACGAACCTTCGTTTGACACGGATGCGGAAGGAAAGCACGACATCTGCGCAGCATGTGAGCGCTGTTGCTACCAAACTGCAGCTGCGTCTGTGTGCAAATGGGCGCTCTGTCCAACGAGCAGCAACTCCTGTCTCGACCTCATCCGCACCACAAGCCGTGACATCGGATCTCTCATAGACGGATATGTACCTGTGCCTGACCAGCAACCATAGCTTGGATTCCAGCGCATTTGTGGCGTTCGTCTCTTGTCGAGCACCATGAATCATCGTCGCCAGGCCCACGTCCGCCTTCAGCACGGCCATACCGGGTGTCAGACCAAACCTCCGAGACACCTGAGCAGCTGTGACCGTCCTACCTCAGCGTTGAAGGATCTCCAAGCGCTGCACCCCAAAGGTCTCCCGCATCTCGGTTGGAGTTCCAGTATGGAAACGTCACGTTACA